GCTCTGAGTTTTATTGATCACTTTTAATTCCCAACTTTGTTATATTTACTAACTACAAAGATTATCGTAATTTCCAAGCTTCCTGTTTATCATTGATGTTTGCTCTCATGGTTCGACCGCTGAAATTTCCGCTCGTTCTTTGTGGAGTAATGCATTCGTTTGTCTATTAGTTATTTCAAAGAGATGATAACTTCGTTTCGTTTCAGATGATTGTTTCATTTCTTGTTTTGCTACATTCACTGTGTCTTTCATGCAAAGTGATTTTTATTTTTAAATCTCACCTTCATGGAACTGCCTGATCTCTCTACCCAGCAGGCACTTTATATAAACTGCATCGCAGCAGGGCAAACAAGCGAAGAGACCAACGTTTCGATATTCAGATAAAACTGGAATTCCGTTTTGATCTTGTAATATTCGACCATTTTTTAAAATACTGTTTGATCACTCAATGCAAAGCTCAAGGGCCACTCCCGATAGAGGGTTACTGAGTGAGATTGTTACAATGGAAGTGGTTGGGGAAGTAAATAATAATTGCTCATTATGAGGAGGTGTATTATAGATATCTGCTGACCCTAGACAAAGATTGTAGTTGTCATGGAAGCATCCCCTCGGGAGTCTGTTCCACAACGTAACTGTCCTGAGGAAGAATTTGAGCACTAATTACTCCTTCTCAAAGGAACACAATGCAAACGGTTTGCTAACGTCTGTACGTTTATATATTGGATCGGATTTCCTACATTTTTAAACCGATTTCAACAAAACTTCACAGGACTACGTAAAATTACCTTGCGGTGGTTGTAACAGCACCAAAAATTGGAAAAACACAATTGTTTTTGCACGAAATCAATTTGAAAACACGATTAAGAGGCATCACTAAAATGAAAGGGGGACAACTCATATCGAGTTATACTTATTATAAAACCCAGGTTGTTGTTGTTGTTGTGTGTGTGTGTGTGTGTGTGTGTGTGTGTGTGTGTGTGTTCGTTTATATATGGGATCGGATTTTCTACATTTTTCAACCGATTTCAACAAAACTTCACTTTTTTTTGGCAGGTAGTGTTTCTTATTGTCTAGCACACTTTTTTCTTAATTTTTACATTCGGAATGCTTTAAAGATTCCATTTACAAGACAATTGTTTATAATAAAATTCTATTCAATCGGTAGACTCATAACGATTGAAAACAATATTTTTGTTTGAGTTTGGGTTTGACCAATTCGTAAAAAAAAAAAATAAACTAATTAAGACATGCGTGTCCGTCAACCTTAAACAATAATCTTTGTCATTTTTATTTTTCAGTCTTTATGACGGTCGATAATTGATCTATCTCTTACTGTTACATCCCCGGGCAACGCCGGGCTCTACTGCTAGTATCTAATAACACTAAGTAATGTAACTCCCTTGAACATCTGACATAGTAATAGCGATAGAAGTCTAGCTTAACCTAATCTTTTTCATGTTCTTTAAGAACTTGTGATAGGATAGCAACGTTTTGTCTTTTGGATAAGGGTTGAATGGATTAGAATAATTAATCTGCCACAATTCGGCTTAATCGCTTTTAGCACATTCAGTATGGCAGGGAAAAAAAACTCCATTCTTAGTCAGATCTGACTTTTATAAAGAATGAACACTGCGTCACCGCCCTGGGTATGACGATAAACTACATCTTGCAGCAAGGCCACTGATCGGACTATTTTGAGGAACGTGGAACTGCCTGTTAATTGCTCTTGTCCCCAGGTCTACTCAGACACAAGGTTAGTGTCCGAGTGTTATGTGGCACCTTGCATTATTAGAAATATTCATAGAAATATGATTTAATTTTTTCTTACTCGGTTTACTAAACAGGTTGTTGATTTTTTTTTAAAAACGGAAAATAATTGAGTTGAAAATAATTCACTAAGATTGTACTTTAGACGATCCTAAGGAAAGAAGAGGAAAGAAAAGAAAGAAAGAGAGTTGGATGATGCATGACCCAGTCATAAGCGAAGATAAGTGTCAGAAAGATATCTTGGCCTGCGTGGCCGAATTTTTTAAAGACAATTGGAAGAATAGAATTAGAAATAATAAGAAGAAAGAAAGGAAAAGACATGATATCAAAACGGGCCGCTTGATGAAAACCAGATATCGGTCAAAACATCTGACCTACTTTTTGCGTAGAAAGACTCATTATCAATTTGGAGTAAGGGGAAATTTTTAAGAGCGAAATCTTAATCAGAGAAAAGGTGTTTTTTGGGTTGAGGGGTGACCGGTGGAACTATATACAGATCCTGACCTATTAAGAATTAGAAACCTACGATAATAAAGTGGGAACATTTTTCAATGTAGATAATTAAGATTTTCTGACTGTCGGGTCTGACAAAGACGGGAGGTGAAGGGGACGATTGTCTCAGTTCACAGATAGCGCCAATATTCTTCCCTGAAGTCACATCTAATTAGCGGCGGGCTGTTTGACAGAGCCCAGGTGAGAGAAAGCCAAGATTGTCATTTTCGTACGTGCAGAA